GAAAAAAAAATTATAATATTTATAATTATAATGTATGTTAATTTTTGCAACTAAAAAAAAAACTACATATAATTATTTGTATAAATATATAAAATAAATTATATAAAATTTTTGTTACTACCTGTCCTTCAAATTTATTAATTCACATTTTCATAAAATTTATATCAAATAAATTTCGTCGTGTAAAAAATAACATATAACAGAGTAGTCTTTGAAGAGCTGTTTAGGAAGATAATTTTAAATTATTAAACAATGAAATATCATTTCAAGCACGTTATCAAGAATACCATTTTGTTCCTGATAATGATAACAGCTGTAAAAAAAGATATAATTATAATAAGACATAGATAACATATTATAATAAATACTATTTAATTGTTATTGCTGAATAAAATATAATTATACAATATTAAAAAATATAATTAAATAATATAAAATATGTATTATATTTCGTAAATTACGTGATATATGAAGTTCAGTGTACACGCGCATGCTTATGTGAATGGCGCCTAATCTATATATATGTGTGTGTGTGTGTAAATTAAAATTTTGATACATAAATAAATTTAAGATTATAACCATAAAATTTTTATATCATATATGAAGAAATTTTTTATCAAAAGAAAAAATAAAATATATCTTATATAAATCAAATTCATTATAACAATATAAATGATAAGATGAATATATATATTTCTTACATCTTTTATATATCATATATCTACTATATGTATATGATAAATATAAAGTTAAATATAAATATAAAGTTATTATATACATATAATATATATCATTGTATAAAATAAATATTGTAATATGCTATTAAAATATTAAAATATATGCTAAAATGAAAATTTGAATTGTTACTAAATTATTTAAATATATTTCTTTTAATGAAAATGAAATATAAATAAATGTCATTTCATTTAATAAATATTTTTAAATTTTATTATATAATCATATTTATATTTTTCTTTTTGTTTTATATTTTACTATTTTATTTTTATATTTTTTTATATATCTCTTTATGTTATTTCATCAATTAAATATAATAATATTATTGCAATTATTGTAATTTTTTGTTAATGTATTTTTACTTATATATTGGATTAATATACAAATTTTTAAATTGTTTTTTAATTAATATTTTAATTATTTTTTAATTATTTTAATATATTCAAAAAATGTACAAATAATAGAAAATATAATAAAAAAAATAGAAAATATAATAAAAAAAATAAAAATTCATATAAAAAATAAATAGGAATATATTTAAGTTATATATTTAAGTATTTAAATTAAATATTGTTAAAAATTTTCACATATTTATATATTATAAAATAACTTTTAAAAAACTAAATAATTTTTACATATTGTAAAAATTTATTGAATTTTTATTATTTAGAAAATTATTACTTTTTAAATAATATAATAAAAAAAGAATTTTTATATATTTAAAAAAAAATTAAAAATTTAAATTAAAACATTATTTTCAAAATTATTTAATTTATTTATAAGAGGCATGATTGATTTTGATATTAAATTAAGTTAAATTATATATTGCAGTAAACTTAATTCTTTAAGTGAGAACCTTTTTTTTTAATAATTTCTTTAATAAAAGTAAAATAAAAAAATAGTAAAATTTCTTTAGTAAAATAAAAAAATACTTTTTTTACTTTACTTTTTGTTCTTATCGATTTTTCAATATAATTGTTTTTTTAATTGTTTTTCGAGATATTTGATTTGATTAATTCTTACATGATAAAGAATTAAAATTTGTTATATTGTTGAATTTCAATAAATTCTATTACAAAAAGTTTTCCATTATATATTCTCGTGATAAATGTAAATTCATTATTTACAAAAAATATAAAAATTTTAAATTTTAATTATCAGTTTTAATTAGTGACGAAATATTAAGTTTTAATTAGTGAGAAGATTCTTTCTTAAAATTAATAAAATAATCAATATCATGATACTTGATAATTGATGAAAATATGATACTAATTACAAGTTATGTTATCATATCAATGAAACAATATTAATATAACAATAAAACAATAAATAATAATATAATCTATATTAGAAAGAAAAAAAATTTCAAAAAATCATTTATATATTTTGAAAATAAAAAGTTAAATCGAAAAATCAATAAGAAAAAATATTTGTTTTTATTAAATAATCGAAATTTGTCATAAAAAGTAGAATTTTATTTAAAAAAACTAAATTTAATGCGATAGATAAATGATATTTGATATAGTTTTAGAGATATTTCATTAATTAAGTTAAAATGAAATCTATATAATATTAATATTTTATATTTTAAAGAAATATTAAATAACAATAAAATTATGTCTTTTTTCAAAATAAACTATTAGAAACTGTTTAAATATTTAAGATAATATAATATAATAAAAAGTTTAATTCTTATAAATATATAAGCAAAAATAAATGTACCTACGAAAGCTATTGTGTATATAAAATA